AGGCAGCAGCAGCACCAGACTCTTCCTGGTGGGGGAGGCTGACGGGGGAGGGGGGGGGCAATGCTGCAGGAGGGAGCAGGGGCAGGCTCAGCTGCTGCCACCTGTGCGGGACAGGCAGCAACAGCACTGCCACTGGGAGGGATGGCTATGGAGGCTACAGGAAATTCTGGGGTGGCTATAGCCCCCCAGACCCTCCCTGCTGGCGCATAGCAGGGCACAGAGCTGCTCCAAGGCCAGGGTGGGATCTTGTGGTCACAGTGTGTTCTAGAGCCAGGGCAGACTCATGATCTGTAGCCCACGTGCTCTGGGCAGGGGCATGCAGGCAGAGGATTGTGGCTCTGGAGCACACTGTCACCACTGCGAGGAGCCAGGGCAGAGCCGCAATCCACTGCCTGCATGCCTCTGTCCGGAGCTTGCATGCTGCAGATTGTGTTCTGCCCTGGCTCTGGGCCACACTGTCACTGCCGCAAGATCCCAGCCTGGCTCTGGAGCAGCTCTGTGCCCTGCTGCACACTCTGGCAGCCCTGCTGGGACTAGTCTCCATGGAAACCCTGGCCTTGCTATCACAGCATGGCTGCTGCTGGGGGCTCCATAGAAACTGACCCCATCCATACGGGCAGGGGCTGCTGGGAAATGGAGTCCGGCCACTGACCAGATCCGCCATTTTGCCCACCCCTGCTCTGAAGCATTCTTATCAGCCACTTGGATATCAGCGGACTAACTGTTTCCTTAGGGAAACCCAAGATAGGAGGGGAAAGATTTACTTACAGCACAGCCAGCCATACGGCACTTCACAAAACACACCAAGGAACTGTGTTATGCTCCAGTAACCTGACTTCACCAGTGGTCAGCACAAACCTCTGCAGAGAAAGCTGCTAGAACCCTGTAGTGTGCAGCTGTGGAATAAACCTGTCTCAGGGGAATTCTTCTTCCTAACCCTGTCAATTAACAGTTAGGTTATGCCCTCATATCCTTCTATTTGCTCTACTTAAGAATCCAGGTAGAACCACAAGTTATATTACATGATTACCATTACTCTGGGCACTTTTCAGAAGGATAAAGTACACACAGGTATCTCTCTTTCCTCAACTCTGCAGTCAGCACATCCCCTTGTATCCCTTTCACCTTTAGAAAACCCTCAATATCTTCATACAGAAGGTCACACCACATTGTTCAGATATCTCCAGCCCCTGCTGATTGTTTTATCATTCCAAAATGAGACCTGTACCCCATGGGAGGGTCTCTCGTTGATGGATAATAGCATTTTATACATTTCCAATGTCGTCCTGGCATTTTGCTTGCTTACATAGTTACTGCAGTTCTGTGGAACAAATGCTTATATTGAGCTGACCACAAAGACGCTCAAGTTTTTTTTTTCCTGTATGACTAGAGTTCAACATGGAAGCATTGGCAATGACTGGAATAACTTGTTATACATTAACTGCTGGCACCAGCAAGGTGGTTTCAACTGCTGTCATGCTGCCCATTCATTTAATTTGCCCAGGTCCCTCCGTTTGCATTGGTTTTGCTTAACCTAGGTAATTCATCTGGAAATGTTGCCTCTTTACTGTCCACCTGATCATGTAAGATATTTAACGTGTGTCCCAGTGTGGAACACTTCTGGCATTCTGCCATAGGCCTTTTGCAACGATGAAAATAAATCACTAGTTTTATCCCCTCTCAGCCAAAGTTTGACCCAGGACAGTACTTCACCTTTCCTACCAACACAACTTTTTTTTCCCTTAGTAGCTATGGTGAGAGACTGAAAAAAAAGGGCTTTTCAGAAGTCCAAATAAATGTCAAGTGACTTTTTTATCCACTCTTTTGTTAACAGATTACTGCATTCTAGTAGGTTGAAGAGAAAGATTTTACTTTTACTGTAACTACATTCAGCATTATCATGCCCTATTCATCTAGATGAGTTTCTCAAACTTTTGATACACGAGATACACTTTTTTTTCTTGATTAGAATTGGCAGCACACTTCACAGGAAGAGTCCACAAACCAGATGCAGTCCATGGGCCCAATCCCACCCCTTTTTCCACAACACACTTCCACCACTATTGTGACACCCTTCGGGAATCACTGATCTAGATGTTTTATAGTTATACTAGTTGTATGGTATATTTGTTGTGTCAGTCAGTTTGCCTGAACCCTAAATAAAGCACCAGTCATGCTCCTGGATCTGATGAGAAAAAGAGAGCCACAAAGGACAGAGTGAAAGAAAGCTGGGTCAGCCTAGAAAGTGAGGTGACTACAGCAGGTTTTAAGCAGAGGACCCAGAGAGAGAGGCAGTCCTCGACATGAAAGATAGCATGAGGTAAGATACAGACTTAAAGCAAGAGAACCATCAAGGAGTGAGGCTGGACAGAGTGGAGCTGTTAACAGAGGAAAGCAGTACTCAAGTGTTAGCAAGGCAACTGGGGAGGATAGAGTGTTTTCTTACTAAGAGAATGCTTATAGTCTTGGATTTGCTTGTAATCTTGGATTTGAATGTGTGATGGTGACAATCTCCTCTGTTCATCACTGGCTATTTTGTTGGCTGAACTAACTAATTACCCTAAACTAGAGAGGTTTTTAATTCCATCTTTGTTGTGGTCCTGCTAGATGCGATGCTACTGCTTTACACTAAAATCTAAAAGCTTGCTGCAAAACACTTACTAAGAATTCATAAATGGAACACTAGAAACAGAACCACCACCACAGGGTCTGGGTTCCCCTCCAAATGCAGATTGTTTAAAAACATCTTTATTGAAAAACCCTGAAAAGGTTTCACAGCCATGGCAATGCTGCAAGAGGAATCTACTGTTGACCAGATCCGGCCAATTGCATTCCTCACACACACAGCAATCAGTTTAGCAGGCAAAGCTCTTCCTTTTTCCATAACTCATTCCCTGGCTTAGCTTGTTTGGAGTAAGACGCTATAAAGCTTGGAGCCAAATGATGCAACACCATATGCCTGGCAACAGCCTACGGATGTTCCATTTCTGTGTTTCACTTACACTTAATGATGTCTTAGCAGACAGCACTGAACATACCAAATAAAATATTCAGATTAACAAGAAAAAGAAAAAAGGTAACAACTGATGCCAATGAATTCCCATAATGCAACCCACTGTCTTGCCATTTATTCTCCACAGATACCAAATGCTCATTCAGATATGCTATGCAGTCAGAGGCTCACATTTAAATAGGAGGCTTCACAAGCCTGGCAAGCAGACTTTTATGGCCCTTGCTTCCAAACATAAAGCTGAAATATGCTTCTTTTTAAAAAATGTGCTCTTTATTCTATTCCATACATTTTGGTCCACTAAACCCACAGATGAAAGACACTAGAAGCAGCAAGTGTTAAGCTATCACTGTAGAGCTGGGCTGGGTTTTACATACTGTTTTGTTTTCATGGGCTGTCTACCACTGATCCCTGAACTGAGAAACATTTGCAGTAGAGAAGAACATTTACAATTATACTGTGTCAGGAAACAGTTTTGTTGGGTTTTTGTTTTTTTTAGAAGTACAGGTAGTTTTAGAGGGGAGCAGCCTGTGAATCAGAACTTCTTAACCTCTGAATGCTAGAAGCTGCAGGGAGAGAGAAGCAGGGATCCTGGACATACTAAGTTCACATACCCCATCCTCACTCCACCACTGTGTGAGACAAGAGGGCCACTTAATGAGTTATAGTGAACACTCTCATTCTCACACACACACACACACACACACACGCACACACACACACACACGCCAGGCTGAGGCTGGTGCCAGAGCAGCAGTGGAAGCAGAAGCATTTGCAGCCCCCCAAAGCCAGACTGCAGGGGTTGAGGGGGAAAGGAAATTTCCCCTCCTCTTGACCTCCCTTCACACCCTCTAGGCCAGGGGTGGGCAAAATGTGGCCCGCAGGCTCCATGTGGCCGGCCAAGCCCTTCTATCCAGCCCATGGGGCCCCTAAAAAATTTAGAAAATTAATATTTATCTGCCCCGGCTGCCTCTAATGCAGCCTTTGATGGCTTCCAAAACTCAATAAGCAGCCCTCCGCCCGAGATAATTGCCCACCCCTGCTCTAGGCAGACCCAGGGTAGGGGAGGCCTCAGATCCCCTGCCTCCATGCCCAACCCCCACTGTCACAGTGCTGGACAGGTGGGAAGGACCCTGGCTTCTGCTGGTGCTGCAGGCAACACTGGAAGAAAGAAGCCCTGGCCCCACACTCCTGCCTACCCGGCACTGCAGGGTTGGACTCCATCTCCCAGGCTGCTGCACAGTGCCAGGCGGACAGGCAGGGCTGCTCCTGCCCAGTGTCCTCAACTGTGCCAGCAGGGGATGGAGCTGCCACCCCACAGACCTGTCAATCGATTCTATCCAGTGTGTGGGCAGGGACTGCTCTGGCTCCAACCTCTGCTGGTGCTGCAGGCCAAATAGAATCAATTGGTGGACCAGATATGGCCTGCAGGCCATGTTTTGCCCACCCTTGGGCTAGATGGACCTATGGTCTGACTCAGTAAATGGCAGATCTCCCGTTCCTGTACAAATCCCTTCAGCTGGTCACCCAGCTCTGTTTTAGACTTGAGAAATATCTCTGAGGGGTCCTGCATTTCAAGATCAACCAGCTTCATGGTCAAATGCTGGGACAGTCCAAAAGTTGCATCTATAACTTTCCATAAATCGAAGCAAACAAAAGCTAAATCTGATTTGAGAAAGGTCTCACTTTTTTCTGGTGAAAATATGCATGTCCCCTAAAGAGCTCTTTGTGTGAACAGGTAAACCCCTCTCCCATTCCCTGTGTAATTATTTGAGACTCTGCAATTGATTGGCTTCTGCGATCCCTTGTAAAAAGATGCAGTCTGTCTCGGGTTTTGGGAACAAGAGTCCACTATGCTGTGGGGACAGTGTGTTATTGTTACAGGAGTGTCTCTCAACAAAACTGTATTGAGTGGCAAGGACGCAGTTTTGATTAGGTGGAATGACTCAGCTGTCGCGCTCAGAGAAGGGAGAGCTTGTCGAAGCCTTACCTCGTGATCTGGGATCTCAGAGGACAGCGTTCTCCCCAGGATGACCCCAGTCAAGTATGTCCAGCAGCGGGCTGTGTTGGCAAGATTGTAGCCTCCTGTCTCCAGCAAAAATCATGAAATTAGGAAGGGACAGATGGGGGGTGGGGGGAGGAAGGGGAGAGAGAGAGTTTTAATGAAAGAAATGCATTGTGGAAGAGCAAGAGACTTTCAGTTGCAATGCACATGAATAAAGCTTTTTATTTAGTCCTCCCAAGCCATGCATAGTAACTGCTTTGCACCTGTTGCAGAGCACAGAGCTAAGGCAAAGCAGTTGATCACCCATACTAAAAAAAGCAGATCTCAAAAGGGAGACTCAGGACTTCTCTGTAACTGGCTTCAAGAGATATCAGTAAACCTTGAACCTTTGAATACAAAGGTCAGGTTATCCCAAGGTGACATGATGGCAAGGAAGATATTCATATTCAGCATGTAAGCAGTTAACATGAGCAGAACATAGACAATCAGTTTAAGATTAGAATCTTATTTTAACCCCAGCATGTGGTCCAAAGTGAATGATATTCAAGACTGACCATGTGTTGATTTTAAAAAAATCTCCATTAGCGCCACGTTTTGAGCAGAGAACTTATCCAACCATGAAGCCAATTAAAAGGGCACTATCACTTGTGGATCAGTTTAATAACCTTAGCTAGACATCAGGGCTGTGCAAAATGCCTGCGTTTCATTTCTATTTCAGATTCAGTATTTCAGAGGGACAGTGACTAGTTTTGGTGTTTCGAATCATTGTCCTGTTTCGCTTCGACCGAAACTGTTTTGGAGCTGTTTGATAGTGTTTCGGCCATAGGTTATAATGGGGAATCGCAAAACTGCCTCTAACTTTGTCATTTCTTGCCTGATTCAGATTAAACTTGCAGGGATGGTAGCCCTTTCTGAGGTCATGAAGCCTACCAAGTTTCAAGGAGATGGGTGCACAGGTTTCTGGGAAACTGCACCTCAAACTGTTCAAAACAAAACTAGTATCAGTTGCTAGCAGTGGCAGCCTGCTGTCATCCCGCACACAGATCTCGGGACTGCGCCCCCAGGAGGAGTCTGGCACAGCCCCACAGCCCTCCCGGTAGGTATGGGCCCTGGATCTGCATGCGGGATGACAGCAGGCTGCTGCTGTGCGGTGGAAACACACCCCG